GGTAGCCCAGGCTGGCCTCGAACTCACAGAGATCCGCCTGGCTCTGCCTCCCGAGTGCTGGGATTAAAGGCGTGTGCCACCACCGCCCGGCAAACCCATATTTTTAATCTACATTCTGCCATGTGGCTCGGTTACCTCTCCTCAGTACATCATACCCAACTTACTCCGAGCCTGCTGTCGAAATCTGTACACTTAGATTCTTCCTCCTCTTCCTCTCTCTCCCCAGAAATTCCACCTATCCTCTCCTGCCTAGCTCCTGGCCATTCAGCTTTTTATTACACCAATCACAGCAACAGACCTTCACACAGTGTACACTATCCCACAATAGCTGCCCAATTAGGCCGTGAAATGGGCTGATTCTTTCAGTTTCATACAAGCACATTAGTCAGAGACAGACCAATGCTATTTTCTGGGTCCTGCAGTGGCTTGCGAGCCATGCTGAGGACCAAGCCAGGGTTCCAGCCCCTGAAGAATCTTGGTCATAAGCATGGCTTCTTTCCTCCCAGACAAGGGCCTGTGATGGGCATGCTGTTGTCCCACTGAAGGTTTCTGAGGAGATTTCTCGGGCTCTGCTCCCACCGGGTGCATTCATTCTGGTGGAAAAGAGGCTCCTGCTGTAAAGCCCGCTGTAGGCTGTCAGTGAGCTGAGCTAACCACATGACTGTGCTCTGGGTCACTGTGTGTGCCGGATGGCTCCCATGCTATCTTTAAAGATTTGCTAAGAGGTACCCAAACCATGCAGAATTCAGTAATGCATTGGGTCTCACAGTATGAGCCATAAACCCCCAAATTCATCTAGCTTCTGCCTAAATCTGTGGCTAGGTCAAGACCTAATCCTCTCAAAACTGTCTGTAGGTCCTTCCTTACTGTGTTTGAAAGGAACCAGAGGTGGATGTTAGGGGCAGAGCTGAAATGCACTGTGCACAGGAACTCCTCTCTCGGGGTTTCTATGCGTTTCCTTGCCCGCACCGACTAAAGCCTGGACTGGCTGGTGCTTCTTGACCCGGCCCGAGATCCTCACTGCTCCCTCCGTGGTTGTGTTCCGGGCCTGCTGCACTCTTTCCAGGCACAGAGGCACCCTGCTTCCTGGAGTCATATGACTCGGTCTCTGAGCTACCAGACCCCAGCGTGCCCTGTGCCCAAGGGACAGTGTCCTTTCTCCACTCCCTTTTCTCACACCTCAGCAGGACAGTGTGAAGTCACGTGACCTCCAAGGAGTGCACTGTAACTAACCCCACCTTCTCGCCCGTCCGACCTGTTCACTCCTCCCTCGCCTCTTCTTAATGCGCCTTTTGTAAGTACTG